GAATCAAATTGACTGGAAATCATTTATTTTTCTTCACGTAAAATTTAATAAAATTTAATAGGCATAGATACAAATTTATAGTATCCATTGGCGCGCACACACACATATAAATCTTAATTTTACCAAATATTTTGAGCCTATTTGATTCGATCTAGGCTCAACTCGAAATTGGCTTGAAGATTGAGATAGACTGAGTTGAGCAAAGTATTTGTGCTAATCTTTGAGCAACCGTTGATCTGAGTTAAAATTTTAGCTAGAAATGCAGTCTCCTCCACTCCCTCTATTTTCCTCCACTCCCTTCTCTTTTCCTACACTGAATGTTTTACCTTTTTCGTGCTGCCATCATCTTATCAGAAACAGCTCATCTCTTCACTGTTCTTGCTCTCATCGTACATCTACCTTCCACAAATCGTTCATTGGACCACCTCCTATTCCACCATGGCGAAGATCAAAATTGCCTCTTTATATTTGCTAAAGTTTCATTTCCAATGTATTGACATTTGGTTTAAATCCACCTTTTTTACCCCTTTGAGTATCAATTGCTGCATCTACCAAGGAACCTGTCAGATTTAATATTTTCTGCATGGAGATTAATGTTCTTAAGATTTTTGTTCCTTTATTGAATGCTTTACAAGGAGGCCGATGCTAAGGTGGAGCCTTTGAGGAAAATGAATAGAGTGAAGCAAGAGAATGGTGGTGATGAAGGAGTGGGAGGGCATGTTTAAGCCAATCGGCTGTTGAAGTGGATTTCTGAGGGAGTAAATGGAGCGGGTGGCAATAATGGTTGCTACGCAAGAAGCTGGGGCAGAAACAAGGAGCATGCAATAAAACTAATAAGACATCTCAGCTGCATAATATTAAATCCCCGAAGAATCATGATCATTAAATCGTGGTAATAATAGTTACAAGAAAAGAAGCTGGGGCAGAAACATGGAGCATGAATAAGACTAATAATACATCTCAGCTGCATAATATTAAATCCCCGAAGAATCATAATCATTAAATCCTAACAACCATATTCTTTTATAATTTTTCTCTATTTTCCATTAGTTTTTTTTACACTATGCTGCTCTAATATAGTAAGAATTACTGAAGGCGATTCTTCCTGTTCTTTCAACTCTTTTTTTTCTTTTATTCATATGCTTCACTGCAATTTTTTTGTTTTACTGCTTTTCTCGAGTTTAAATTACTGCATTGATTCATTATTGTATGAGAGATTTTGCCTAAAAACATTTTTATCTCTTCTCATCTTCAGTATACCTTCCAATGGAGAAATATTCCTCTAGTTCACTAAATGAATATCTAGAATCCATCATAACGAACACAACCACCATTCCATCCTTTAAAGTTCTTCTTGTCACATTTGAACATATAGTCACCACCTAACTATCCAATGATCATCATCTTATTTTGAGGTCTCAATTCCTCAAAATCTTCAATGCTATTTGATGTCTTCCTTCATGGTTTCACAACTTATCTCACCAAACACCTCACAAATGGTGAAGGATTTCTCATCCCAAACCCTCACTATATAACATGGCTTCCTACGATTAGAACCTTACAACAGCTCTTTACTCCACCATCACTATACTTATGTTTCCCTATGTAATTCATCTTGATATCCCCTCTGTTATCTGGATAATTATCAAAAATTAACTTTGAGCTAGTAATAATTCTAGAGCCAGTCAATTGAAAAATAAACTCCACGATATATTTATGAAAGATAATAACATGAATCAAAATTTTGTTGAAATCAAAATTTTTGTTGACAACTTTGAGGCCTCAATTGATCAAGGAGATATCATTCTTTATATCCTAAGTGGCCACCTTATTCTTTCAAATTTTCAAACTGTAATACAAAGTAGGCTCACTCCTATTAGCCTGGATGCATCTACTATCTCTTATGCATTAAGGATATCAATATTGTTAATGATATCAATATTGCTAATGAACCAGCTGAAAACGCTTAATTATTATATTCACAAATTGCCTTCACCTTTCAGTATACCAGAACCACCTCTTCTTCATTTTGAGGTAGAGGTCGTGACACACTTGATTTCTACTAATGGGGTGGAATTGTGTTCACCCGAACGAGAGAGATCAAAATCCAGCCACATTAAATGCCAAATTTGTGTGAAGAATGATCATTCAACCATCTCAGGTTGCATCGTTCTAATCTTAGTTATTGTCAACTGAAACCAACTTCAACCACTCAAGCTCTACTAGCATCATCCAAGGTTGAATCCCTGTGATTAGCTCTGGGCTCAAGATTGGCTTCACATTTAACCTCCAACATCGACCAATTCCTATCTTTAATCCCATACAATGGTCTTGGTGAAGTTCA